GGGGGTACGGAGGGTGCCGAGGGCTTGCCGGCCTTGTGGGAGTGTGGAGTATTCGGTGTAAAGGTTTTAGTGCTTAGAAACAGCGTCTGGCTCGGGAGGTGTGAACCCCCGGTAATACTGGGAAGGTTTAGGTGTGGTGAGCATCACAGACATTTTCGTGCTCTCATAGGCATCCAGAAAGGCGGCAGAGAGACAGGGATTTTTCTCGGCCTCGCTGGGATTTGGGCTGACCGTGGGCAGTCAGTAGGATGTGGCTGGATGTGCCTGGTGTTTGTGAACTCTCTGGTACAGGTGTTTGAGTTAAAATTCAGAGTGTTTCCTACCACAGCTAATCGTCATAGATACAAACTACTTACTAATAAGTATTCATATATTTTTTATGAGAAGTCATACATTTTTGCTTCTTCTCGTAAATCTGGTAGATTTCAGATGCATTCTTTACTAAGTGCATCTGTCAATTTGCAAAAACCAGTAAATGTTAGCTGCAGTAGTCAATATTCAATTTTAGCTATTAATCACTGACACTTTTGTGTTCTTTTGGTGTAACTGAGTTTATTCAGAGTCATATGAAAGTTCAAATATGAACTTTAGAAATTGGAATATTTCTATTGAGTTTCAGAAGCAAAGACTCATCATGAAGCTGTGTTACCAGCAGCATTTTTTTAAAGTCAGGGCTGAGGGTTTTGATGTACAGACTAATGCACCCACATTAGTATAATATTGATTAGCATAATAGGTTATTATTAAAGCCATTTGTGTATCTAAAAATGGAAATGAAGGGAAAAAGAAATGTAGATGGTTTTAATCTATAAGTGAAAGTAGGAGAGCTTGTTAGTAAATGAACCAGTGGTTTGGAAGCTGGTTGTTTTGGCTCACTTGTCTACATGAGAAAAGGCTCTGACAATGGTAACTGGCTTGTTATTTTAACAGCTGTAGAACATGAGGTGAATTGGAGGAGGAGGAGGGCTGGAATTTGAGGGGAGAAGAGTGTATGCTACTAAAGTTTGACATGTTTGGGGAAAGAATCCAAACCAGGAAGCATTTCCAGGAAAACATCAGTTATTCATTCAGTTAACTCAGTTGCTGTGTGCCACAAGTCAGTAAAACCATGGTGATAGCTGCTCTGCCCAGAACCATTTTCTTTTCCCTTTTGACTTAGCTGGGTGATTCTGTTTTTCCTCCAGGTCTCCTGCCATCAGACCTCTCTGCTACATGGATTTAATTGTACAATAACACTCCCCTGTTGCCCTCTGTGCTGTCTTGGACTGACCCATTTCTTGCCTAACCTTTCCTTTCTCTCTGTTTTCAGTCCCTCTTACCTGGAGAAATCACCAAGTTTCTGCTGCGCTGTCACAGGAGTGCAGGGCCCTGCACCAGCCCAACAGAGGGATCTGCTCACACTCCTGATCCTACCCCAGGCTCCCAACCCTGCACTCAAAAACTCAGCATTTCTCCTCTTCTGTGACCCACATGTCTGATTTCCCACTTCTGACAGTTTAGTTCTCAGGCTTTCATGACATCTGCAGAAGAAAACCTGCAGTCCTGTGCAGTTTTCCTTCCCAGCAGAACTTTTTCTGCAGCCTCTTTTCCAGCTCCTTTCACAGCATTTCCCTGCAGTGTTGAGATCAAAGAGGGTGGCTGTTGAATGACAGTTGGTTCTGTGCTTCTTTTCCTTCTTTTGAGCCTGCACCAGGCTAGAGTGCAGCTCAACAGGACTTTCTGTGCTTGTGTGTTCCATAGTGCAGCTCTCCCTGGGACAGGGGCCTCATAAACCACAAAAAAGATTTTAGCCCTGCACTATGACTTACCCATCAGGCAATGAAGGGTCTGCCTCAGACTAGATGCTGTGTATGGGGATTTAAAGTTAAATTCCTTGCTGTGCAGTAACATTTTTTCTCCTCCTCACAGGTATCCTCTGACAAATTACACGTTTGGCACCAAGGAGCCCCTCTATGAGAAGGACAGTTCCGTGGCAGCTCGGTTCCAGCGCATGAGGGAGGAGTTTGACAAGATTGGCATGAGGCGGACAGTGGAAGGAGTTCTGATTGTGCATGAGCACAGGCTGCCCCACGTGCTCTTACTGCAGCTGGGTACAACTTTTTTCAAGCTGTAAGTGTCTGTTTCCTAAGTGTAACTTCAGTTTATTGTCACACACCACTAAACATGTGGGCTGGAGGTTAAACTGTGGCCACCCCCTCAATGGGATTAATTGCTTGCAAAGACTTAGTCTGGAAAGTATATTTTGAATGGTGGTGTTTTAATCTAAAGTGTGTTTGACTCTGCCTGTGAGGGGGATGATTTAGTTTGGAACTGACTGGGAATCTTAGTTACAGTGCATCACTGTAGTAAAATCTTGTTTAAAATTCATTATCAGCAGTTGGTGTGTTGTACTTGCATTGTGGAAGCTGTTATGCTTCAGTAGCTTATGCTATGCCCATAAAAATGGGCAGGTGGAGGCCAAGGACTAAGCCCCTGTAAATGCAGAATGATACCTGTTTACAAACTAATGGCTGAGCTGGGATAGCAAGAAGGGTAGGCATCTAAATTTGAGAAAATTGCTTCAGTTCATCTCATAGTTATCACAGCCAGGGTGAAGTTTTTGTTTTGAATACGGTTGTAGTGATGGTGGTGATTTTCTTTTTTAAACTAGATGGCCTTGACTTGTCTCATGTTACATGCTTGTGTTCTTGTTCTGTTTTAACATTTTATATTGTTCTCAATTTTGTGTGTGTTAAATCTAATTTTACATCTAGATTTGTTTTTGACATCTTGATTTGAAGGGCTGTTGCAGACAAACTAGGCAAGACTGTAAATGATTTGCAAAATACTGTAATGACTGTAATGATGAAAATGAATAATCCTGCATCATTTTCCCACATGAGTTTTATTTTCTGCTTTCTGTATGTTTCAGTGAGTGCTGGTTTTGTGATAAGAACAAACACAGGCAGTATTTGCAGCCCTTCAGCTTCTGAAGGGCTGCAAAAAAATTTTACCCTATTAGGGTCTGAGTTATTATCATGTGTATTGTTACAGTCTGTCCTGCTGAACTGAAAGTATTTTATGCAGTGGTTATTTTTAAGGGACATAAATAGCCATTTTAGTTTCAGTTTTGGTGAAAGCTATGCTGCTGTCTTCAAATTCAGCAAAGCTAGTTCTGTAACTTCTGACTTAAGGGCCCTAAGTGAATTTGTAACTCCCTGCCTGGAAGCACACTGGAACTTGTCTGTGAAGATTGGTAAATGCAATAAAATAACTTTGGCTTTCATCACTGATTATTTTAACAGACCTGGTGGTGAACTCAATCCAGGAGAAGATGAGGTAGAAGGGCTCAAACGCTTAATGACAGAGGTCTGTTTGCTTTCATTATGTTGCTGTAGCAGAATGTTGCATTTTTTTAGAATTACCAGAATAAGCTAAAGCATTAGAGTAGTTTTCTTACCACTGTTGTTATTTTGTTGCTTTTGTGATGTTCTCAGGTAGTTAACAAATAAAGCAGTCAAGGTTTCATTTATCTGCATCATGAGTGTGGCTGACTCCTACCTGCTGCTCAAGTCCTGTGTTCATTTGCAGCTTTGCTTTCTGACTGGCTTCAGGCAAGTGAGTGTAGAGATGAGCAATAAGATATGTTGTGGAGGACAACTGATGGGGACTTGCCTTTGAGATAGTCCTCCCAATGCACCATTTTCTCCAAGTAGCTAAATTAATTCTGCTAGGTAATGTAAAAATGCATTTCATTCTTCCCATTGGTCTGATAGAACTCAGTCCAGCTGAGTACAGCATAGATTTTGAAAAGCTTTCTAGAGTGCCCTTGTCCTACCAGGTGAGGCTTTTACTAAGAAATCTCACTTTATACAAAAATAATTTACAATCCTATTGAAAGCTGTCTCAGAGCAGTTATGAACTACATCAGACACATATTACAGCAAGTCTTTGTGCTTCCAGTATGTGTTTGCTAAAACAATTTCCTTGAGGTAATTTGAGGTCTGATTAGTACTGGATGTTTGATAGATACTGGGTCGTCAGGATGGTGTTCAGCAAGACTGGGTGATTGATGACTGCATTGGCAACTGGTGGAGACCAAACTTTGAACCTCCCCAGGTGAGTACTCCTGTGGGCTTCCATCTCCTTTGCTGGAGTTCTGTCTGTACTTCTAAAACCCTTCAACCTTTCACCTGGGCTTCTTGAGTATCTGCTGCATGAGCAGGTAGGTTTTCTGGGTTATGTCTGTTTCATCTCCTTTCTGTCACTGAAGAGAAACTACTGACTTTTTTAAACTGGAAACTCCTGTCTCCCTTCTCACACCTGTCCTGATGGATGAGAAACCACTGGATGTAGTAACTTCCAGTTCTATGCTGAGACACATGCACCATTTAAATTCCTTTTGTAGCCACAATGGAGACTCTGGCACTGCTGCTTATGGAACAGCTGCCCTAGTCTCATTCCCCTGTTCCTAAGGGCTTTAATACTGAAGATGCTTGCTTAGTTTGTTTTTATGCATTTCTGTTTTATTGAGCTGTTTTAACTGCTGGTGATCTTGGTACCACTTTAGAGCCTGTCAATAGTTGTGACAGCAACAGCATTTCTTTCTTAAATACTTTCTTAGGAAAATGATTTTCTTTATTTGATGCCTTGAAAGAACAATATATGACACACTGAAAGCTTGTACAGGGCTTGATAATTTATTTACTGAAGATTACACAATATTTTCAAAGCTCTGTACAACTGATTTTTACCATTTTTCTTCTAGTACCCATATATCCCAGCTCATATTACAAAGCCAAAAGAACACAAAAAGCTTTTTTTGGTCCAGCTTCAAGAAAAGGGTAAGTGTGTGTATTTGTGACAATGTTTAAATGCTTGTGTTTCACTCAAGGAAAACAAAGTTGTGGTTGTGTTTGTTATGGTATTTTACACCAAGATGTGTATGCTTGCAGTTGCTTGTGGTTGGTCACTAACAAAGTTAGATGCTGATATGTTTTGAAGGTAGATGATCCTTTAAACACGAGTTCCTAGTAAATTTTCATTCCTGCTCCTGCATCAGTCTGTGAACAGGATGTGAATCCCACATTTACCTAGAAAAGCAATAAACCTGCTTGAGTGCTCCATGTAGTGAACTTGTTTTGAGGTCTGTGGGGGATGATGTTACCTTGGCTGAATGTGTGCTTGTTTTTCTGATTAATCAACTTGTATTTGTTTGTAGCTTTGTTTGCAGTCCCCAAAAATTACAAGCTGGTTGCTGCACCATTGTTTGAGCTCTATGACAATGCACCAGGATATGGCCCTATTATTTCCAGCCTTCCTCAGCTTTTGAGCAGGTATGTTGTATTTGTGTAGTGGTTTTTGGGAACACGTTTGCTGTGGGACACCAGAGCAAGGCAAGGTGCTACAGAAACCAACTTGAAAAGGTGACAACTGTCCCAAAGATTCTGCTTCAGATGAGCTGGATGGACACTTTGGAGGCACTGATCACAACTGGCTAGCACCAAAGTCCTACCTAGCAGTTGTAGCTAAGGAAGATGTGGAAGACAGTGAGGATGAGCTTGTGCACAGACTGAGGAACAGCTTCTTGGAGCTGTTGGGACAGCTGGAGAGTTAAAGCCAGGATGTGAGTTTGAAGCACTGAGTTAGGTATGCATGTTAACACAGCTTTGTGCTGGTTAAATGTGATGGGTTTTTTACACTCTCTAGTGGAGTTAATGAAGTGCAGCATCTTTCTGACACAAATTCCTGTAGGGACAGCTGTATTTTTTCCTTTATGTTGCAATGTATACATGCCTTGACTTTCTCACCTGGAAATGACTTGTGGCTCGTCTATCCAGAGCTCACTATTCCCACTGGTCTCTTACTTGAGAGAATGTTCAGCCATGCCAGGAGTTCCACAGCCTGCCAGCTCTTCCTCAGGGAAGTAGTTCTGTCACCTACCTACTATGATGAGACATGTTAGCACTGGTGTTGCCCATAATATTCTTGTTTCCTGCTCAGTATTTTTCTCTCTAGCCCAAATTTTGGCTTCCCCTCCTCTAAAGACAGCAGGTACTTTCTTCTTGAGTACCAGCAAAACACTGTCTGCTCTGCAGGTTGGGTAGTGGTGCAACAGACACATCCAAAGGGGCATCTCCAAGCTGAGATGGATGCTTGCCTCCACACTTATGAAACTTAGCTGGGAAAAATTCTCTCTTCACTATGTCTGTATGCTCCCCTTGGAACATGTAAGGTTGGCCTAGCAGCAGAAATCCTGCAAAAGAGTTGCTGATGGAGGAATGTAGCTCTCACTGTGATTTATGTATCTATGAACCTGTTTTAGGAGATCAAATGTTAATAATTAGTTCTTCTGCAACCATAAGAGACAGTTGTGCAATGCTAGAGTAGGATTGGCTGTTAAAAATTATGTATGTACTGCTATACTGTAAAGCTGTCTTATTAAAAAATGTACTTTTTTCCTGTCAGGTGGAGGCTTATCCAGAGCAGAAACAAAACATTTGCTTATTCATTCAAAAATGTCCTTAAAAAAAAGAATGAAAACTCCTCACTTGGTATAATCCTTTTAATTTTAGGTTCAACTTTATTTACAACTGAATTCCCATGTACCTGAAGACTCCAGTAGAAGAAGCCGTCTCTGTGAGCACAGCTTTGAACTGTAGAGACACGAATATGTGTGACACAAGGATTTTTTTAAGTCATTCTGTTCCTGAAGGCCACTAAACATTCTGTGGTATGAACAGAGAAGTGAATCTCAACTGTTTAGCTAGAGAGATGGCAATGGGCTACCAGTGTTATAATCCCTTTTCATTGTAATACTCACCAATTTTTTGTTTTGTACAACATTAAACAATATGGTTGAGATTCTGTTTGTCTTGGGTTTGGTTTGGTTTTTGTTGTTTTGTTTTGTTGTGGTTTTTTTTAGGTTTTTTAAGTTCTTTTTTTCTCTTCTGTTTATTAGTTGTTTTATTTTTCCTTTTTGTCTCTTACTTTTAGATGCATATTTTAAACTTTATTACTTTTCTTCAGGAATACAGATGATCTTGGAATGAGGAGCTAAGCCATTCAGGGCCCATTCAGATGCTGTGGTCTTTATCCCTGAGCAGTGAATATCCCTAGGATCAGGGAGAAAGGAAATAGCTTAAGTGGGTTCAATATTGTTTTGAGTCTTAATTAACTTGGAGGCCAGGACTGCTTTTTTGAGGGAGAATGAGTACTTAAAGGCAAATGTAGCCTTTACCCTTTTTACCAGAACTGATCTGTTTGTGCAGGGCTTGGAGGAGATGCAGCATGCATCTGTTCCTTCAGTGCCCCCTTAAGACAGTAACAACCCCAAAAATTCTGTTGGACTGGTCTGAGATACAGTTAAAATAGGGAAAGTGAAGTTAATTTTGTATATTTTTCCTTAGCTATGGGACAGAATTAGGGTCATGCTGAAACAGCCAATGCCACATGCAAGTAGTTTTCCATGTTACACTGTCCTGTGCTGTCTCATCCTGCAAGGGATACCCACACTTTTGCTTTTTCCCAACATTTCAGTTTCTTGTAGGCAGTAAACATCAATCTTCCTAATTCTGGGGTTTTTACATGCTTGGCTAAACATAAAGTGTACTTGGATGTGACACTTCCCAATGCTTTAGTCTTGATTTTGCTTAATGAGTCTTCAAAAGCTTTGTTTCCAAGTTCTGCCTCTGATCAGAAGATGCAATGTTGCTTGTGCACTGTCCTTTTATGAAGGCAGGGTTGGAGAGTGCCAGCTGCAAGAGAACTGAATCTTGCCAAAGTGCTTTGCTTGCTGCCATCTGCACTGGGAAGCAATGTACAGAACAATCTTGACAGCTTGGTGCTCTGGTCAAATTGAAGCTGTGCAGTATGGCAAATGTACTGCAAAATGCTGGGAAAGGTAGTGCAAGGGCTGTTCACTTTGGTCCTGTGGATGGAAGGCCCAGACAGATGGTGAGTAGAATGTATGGTTTCTTAGCTGCCAGCAAGGGGAAATGAAGCTAGCAGGGCAGTGGAAAACAGAACCCTTTTTGCCCGTGGAAGTAAGGAAGGGCAGATGGAAGACTGGAAGTCAAGTGCTGCAAGAACAAGGAGCAGAGTGCAGCTTTTGAGCCCTGGCACTTCAGAGCACCTCTCACCTAATTCCACGGTAGTTTGAGACTAATTCTTGTTCCAGGCTGCCTGTGGAAGGGCGCTGCTCCTGCAGTCTCTGGGCGCTCTCCTCTGCCTCCCTGCCTGTGGCTCTGGGGGCTCCCGGAGGCCCCTCCAGTTCCCTCCGCCGGCTCCGGCGGTGCGGCCGCTGTCCCGGGCGGGGGGGGTGCGGGGCAGGGCCGGGCCGGTGGAAGCGCCGCCCCGGCCGTGACTCAGCGCGCGGGGTGACGGGCGGACGCGGCGCCCGGAGCCGGGGCGGGGGGTTCGGGCCCGGTCTCTTTCCTTTCTCCAGCGGGGGCGGCTCGCCCGGCCCCGGGGAGGGGCGGCGGGGCGGGCGTTGAGCCGGGGGAGCGCGCCGAGCCGGGGCCGGGCGGTGGCGAGGGCTCCGCGATGCCGCTGCTGTTCCTGGAGCGCTTCCCCTGGCCCAGCCTCCGCACCTACACGGCGCTCAGCGCCCTGGCGCTGCTGGGCGCCGGCCTCAGCGCCTACCGCGCTCTCAGCCAGGCGCCCTGCGGGGCGGCGGGCACCGAGCCGGCCGAGCCTCAGCGCTGCGCCGGCCCGCGGGCCCTGGACGTCGCCTACTACCTGCTCTCGGACAGCCTCTGCGTCTGGGTGAGCCCGGGGCGGCGGCGGGGCCTGCGCGCCCGCGGCCTGCGGGGCTGGCAGCGGGATCGGCCTCTGCCGGCACCTCCCCGCGGCCGGGGGGCGGTGGGCGGCTCCGGGGGGTGTTTCGTTATTGTTGTTTGAAAACTGCTCGCGGAACGAAGAGGGGGCTCGGCTGGGTTTCCCCTGCCCGCCCTGGGCCGCCTCCGCAGCCGCTTCCCTTCCTGGCTGGCCGGGCGGTGGGGCAGCGTTAGAGCCGAGCGCCCGGAGCTCAGCCCGCGGCTCGTGCTCCTCTCTCTCCCCGAGCGCCCCCCGCTCGTCCTGCCCGGGCCTTTGGCAGAAGCTGTTGGGAGCGTTTGCCGCGGACCCGGGCGCTTGCTGGGCTTAAGCTTCGCCAAGCACTGCCCGACCTGCTCTGCCAAAAATCTGAGTAAGGGGCTGTCCGGTATTCGAGCCCAAGCCCTGCTGCCTTTATCTATTTTTTTAAAATAGCACTGAAAGTCTTGTATGTGAGAGGAAACATTCTCACCATTTAAGGAAAAAAAATTAATTTTCTGTACCTTTTAAAACCCAAACCTCATAATGGTTTCTGAATTTTGACTCACTGATTTGTAGTTGAAATAAAGGCTCAACGAGGGGGTATTGGATACCTTGCTGAGCTGTTGCTGTTGAACTTTTCATCTATCTGTCACTCAAAGGTGGCAGTAGTTGGACATCTGCTTCACAACATACTTGCTTGAGTGAGGTGCTGTTTTTTAATATACCAGACATATTCATCCTATTGAAACCGGGTCTCACAGCCTTAAGAATCTTGGAGAAGTTACAACCTTTGGAAATGACAGGGCAAAGCTTCTTCATCATCTACCTTTTTAGTGTCCTGCTAAGGTCAAAAGTTAATTGCAAGTGCCTTTGCCAAATGTGAGATGTCAGTTTTCCCAGACCCATGTCTTCTGCTTCTTGCTGCTTTGCTGTGAAGAAGTTTCCCAAGAAAGCCTCAAGAAGTGTTTTTACTGAAGGGTTGTGTGCTATTCAGCATGTTTTGAGGCAACTTCTGAATCCTCTTACTGTAATAACAGATTCAAACTGGATTTTTATTATCTGCTATATGTTAAACAAAATTACCATCTTGGTGATCTGTAAGTTCTGTCCTCACGTTCTTTTATGAAATTTGGTAGTCTGTATGAAATAATTTATTGTGAAGAGGTAGAGCAGTTTGTTGACTTTACTGCTGTATCAAACTGTGTTAGTATTTCTAGGAAAAAAACAAGCTAAGACTTATCAGCTACTTCATGTGTCTTGAAAGAGGCCAGGCTTAAATTTCATCAAAAGAAAAGGCAACTAATACTGTTCTGTGAACAATGGCAGGTTTTGTTAGACTCCCCTTCTCTCCCTTCTTCTAAATAGGGCAAAAGTATTTGTCACTGACTGCTTTATTTCTTTTCAGGTTCTAGTGAACACTGCCTGCTGTTTTCTGATGCTGGTTGCTAAGCTAATCCAGTATATGGTGTTTGGTCCTCTTCGTGTCAGTGAGAGGCAGGTGAGACAGCAAACAAGGAAACCATAAAACATGACAAATGGTGTGATTTTCTGTGTGGAATTGCTGAAACTGCACAAGAAAAATAAATTTACAATATATGTCTTACCATTTGGTTAGCTAGTATATCCGCAGCCACAAGCTTCTGCTTTATTTTGAAGGGAATTTTTCCTATTGTATTTTAATAGCCCACAGTCAGCTTGAAAATCCTGTGTCTTTAATGAATTCTCTTAGATTTCTTACAAGCATGCCTCACTTCAAAACTCTTGCAACATGTTCTTCTCCATCCTGCCTGCACCTGGCAGCATTTCTCCATTGCTTTTTGTAGTTGTCAGCACTGGCAGTTTTGAATTCTCTCTTCTTTTGTACCTTGACTGCTGGAGAAGTGCTTTCCATTTTCATACACTGAGTGAATGGTTCATCATTGCTGGTTTAAGAGGGAGTAGGCAAGAAAATCCCCAGAGAAAGGAGGTGAGCAGGAAAGAAAACTGAGGCTGTTCAGTCCTACTCTTGACTATGTGAGAATGGTTGTAAAAATTCAGCAAAGGAGCTATGAAAGCCCAGAGTTTTTAAAAACAGGATCCTGCAGAAGATGAAGGTAGCAGCAGGACCTTGAATAGTATCTCTATATATTTTTTTAAAAAGTAAGGCAAATGCATAAGTTGCTTGTGTAAATGCAGAAGCAGTGGTTTGGAGTGTGTTCACATATTAAAATAAAAGTCTGTAGAAAGAGTTCTTTAGGAGGAATCAGGCCATGATGATTTTTGACATGCAGAACTGAGGCACACAAAGCCTCATTAATAACTGTGGAGCTCTCAAAGCCTATTGTGTTTGTAATTCATACCTTGTAGAGGCTCTAAGTGTATTAAAACCAAGACACTATCAAACTGCAGTGGGCCAGATTTCCTCTTCAGTCCATGTTGACTATAAGGAATTTCAACTGGTGATGGTTTCCAGGATGTTCTCTGCCCTCTTAAAAACTGAAGTGCAAAGCAATAGCAGTGTGGATCCACTTGTGTTTGGACAGTGGGAGTTTGCCTCAGTTGTCATGTAAAGGAAAGCTGTTTATTAATACTGGCGAGCCCAGAACAGCAGCATCATTAAGGAATTCAGGGCCTGTCTTAACTAAACTCCTGGTGATTTCATTGTGTACTTTAACAAAACATTTTGTTTCATAAATTTTTTAATCCCCTCCAAGCTGGCTTGCTGTCTGCTGCTTGAGAACATCATATTATTTCTTCCGTACTTTGTGTGTGTGGGAATGGTTTTATTTTCATTTCTCATCCATCTCACTCTCCACTGTAGGCATTGTGATTCTTAACCATAGACTTCATCATCTTTTCTTAATCATCTGTACTTTTTGGCAGGTTTTTGGAAGCAAGGTGCTAGGCAGTTTGGGCATCTTGAATAACTAACTGTGGCAGCTCTTCCAGCAGAGAGGACTGTGTGTTTGCAGCCTGGTAGCTGAGTTGCTTGGGCATGAAGAATCAGACTGAGATCAGACTTGCTTTGTGCTGAGCACTGTTTTAGGAATACAGCAGGAAACTGCCTTGTGTGCTGTGTAGCACAGTTATGCTG